ATTTAGTAGCTCTAGTCTGCACTTCTCATCCTAGCATTGAGTAGCTCTAGTCTGCACTTCTCGTTCTTCCCAATACACTACTGTATCCTAGCATTTAGTAGCTTTAGTCTGCACTTCTTGATTTCTCCTCTTAATTATGTCTATCCCGGCATTTTGTTCCACACAAAAGTCAACGTGACCTAAAATTTTACACCCAGGTGGCGCCACACTGGCTGCGCTGCTGCATTAAAATTCCAAGTCCAAGTCTAGTCCATTCACACAAGAGCAATGCCCAACTGCTGTGGGCTGCATTTCCTGATACGGCTGGTGACCCACACCATAATCGCAATATTCCTGGTATGGCTGGTGACCCACACCATAATCGCAATATTCCTGGTATGGCTGGTGACCCACACCATAATCGCAATATTCCTGGTATGGCTGGTGACCCACACCACAAGCACAATGAATCGGGACCAGCAAAGGTAGGGCCACATCCAATCATTTGATTATAGCTTCAGATTTACACAACAACTTATGGGAACTGTTTGCGGCCATTACCATAGACTTGTGGATAAATTATGACCGCAGCCAAGTAGTTTGTTTGTTTGACCAGGAGCAAAACGAAACCTGGGCCGTATCTGTTATTATGCAAATGAAGTTTAGCCAACACACATGTGGGTTTGTGTATTGCAAATAGACAAAAGGTATAGTGGAAGTACCAACATAATGGCTTTTAAAAAGGAAGAATTTGAAAAGTATGTTATTTTCTGGCTTTTACAAAGGAAGAACTTGAAAAGTATGTTATTTTCTGGCTTTTACAAAGGAAGAATTTGAAAAGTATGTTATTTTCTGGCTTTTACAAAGAAAGAATTTGAAAAGTATGTTATTTTCTGGCTTTTACAAAGGAAGAATTTGAAAAGTATGTTATTTTCAAAAGGGTATGAATAAGTTTAGGCACAACTATATAACTGCCTACAAATCCACTTATCTTGAATGTTTGCAAAACTTGTAGGAATTGTCTTGCTTTCAATTACCTTGTTGCTAAACTTCTTTCCTTGTTTAAGGGGAGTCCTACTTCCTTCATCGACATGATTTTCTTTGTCGCTTGAAGGTGAATTTCCCTCTTTCATCTGCAATGGAACAAGACATTATTTTTAAAGTCTCAACAGTCTGTGGTGTTTTCATCAGTTAAGCTGTTACATTTAACCATGGATCCATTTCCAGGGGACAATTCTTTTCAACGTGACAAGCAAGTGAAGTCAAATCTGTATTGCCTTGACAGTTTTTTGTTAACACAATAACTTGTCTGCTGAGATCCATAACAAGGAAATGAAGCATTTTTTATGAATTTGAAAAATGTACCTGTATAACGTAATCACCATTCTTTCCTAAGGGACTTGGTAACTAAGTGTTAGAGTGAAACAAACTCTTACTGCAGGGTTACTTTACAGAATTGGAAATCAGTGGATTTACAGGTAGTTTGGTCCACTTGCTGTAATCCCCCTATTCTGCTGGGGTACAAGGAAATGGTCCTACTGGTGGAATAAAACTAGTATCACAAAGAGACTTCCTTTGGTATTTTTTGCAAGGAACCTTCCCAAGCACCAACGATCCTCCAATGTGCAGTAATATGCAGGATACGTTCTTTATGCTGTGAATTTCACTGGCATAAGGTGACACACAAAGGATAAGTGAAAGTTTAATAGAAGTAGTGAAAAACTAGTGTTGATGTTGGATGACAGTACCTGTGTTTTTATTTATGCAAAAGGTAGGAACTGATTACGTTCTTACGCATGCAAAGATGACTCTAGCACTGTAAATACATGTAGCTTTAAAATGTCTCCAAATAATAGATGTCTTCCTAGCGCAGTACATTATTTTGCACAGCTCTGTTTGTTTTGGGACTCCATATACTTCCATGTATTACCTGTTTCAATGTACACACTGTGAATTGATTTGGACTGGCATCCATCTTTGATTTGACTTGGCAACTTGGGCCAATACATAAATACTTTACACTTCTCATAAGTCAGTGCATCAAAAAGTGACATGCATGTATATGCATGGGTGTTTAATCTACACAAATAATGTCACTTTGGGTGCATCTGACAAAAGTTAATCTTGCAAAATGGAACGTGATAAAATTTCTTTAAGACACATTTATGGATAACTTATAAATTCAAAAATTGTCCGATTTAGAACAAGTGTTTAAAATTCGCAATTGCAGCTTCAAGAGAAATGGAAGAAGCTGTATCATTGACCAACAGAATTTTCAACAATAGCAAAGCGGTTCAATTGCAGCAGTTCAATTGCAGCGGTTCAATTGCAGCGGTTCAATTGCAGCGGTTCAATTGCAGCGGTTCAATTGCAGCGGTTCAATTGCAGCGGTTCAATTGCAGCGGTTCAATTGCAGCGGTTCAATTGCAGCCGTTCAATTGCAGCCGTTCAATTGCAGCGGTTCAATTGCAGCGGTTCAATTGTAGCGGATCAATTGCAGCGGTTCAATTGTAGCAGATCAATTGCAGCAGTTCAATTGTAGCGGATCAATTGCAGCGGTTCAATTGCAGCGGTTCACTTGGGTTAGTCTTGCTCCAAGGCAAAAGGATGGTTTTGCATGATAGGAAGAGCTGCATGAATGAGAAAGCATGTACCATGCAAGTATGTATACCTGTGCCCGTGCCATAGTGTCAGGTATCGTTAAAGCAGTCCACTATAAAACAAAATAAAAAAGAGACAATATGACAGACAACAACCATAATCTAGTGCTGCTTTAAAGAATCAACTATGTCAGAGACGATACAAACGTAGAGATGCACACTCAATAACTGCACTCGTACATGGTGCCATTGTATTTGTTTCACTTATACTGGACCTACCGGCTTAGAGTACACCATTAAAACCAACAAGTTTCAATCAATAATATCAAAAACATCATGAAGAAGGAGCAACAATGTTACAAAGTACAATTTGCTTTGTTTGTTTTCCACCTCTGAATCTGAAAGACAATTCCAAATGTATTTACAAAATGTGTTGAAAGGTTTTGACTTTTCTGGAATGCAGGTAACTTTGTGAAACGTGTACGTGTACATCTACTGGAAATTTTGCTTGAATTGTACATGTATTTCAACAGAAAATTACTTCCCAAAATTGAAATTTTGTGGACTACCATTTTACACTGGCTTGAACCTAATCTGCAATACATGTATCTTCAGAGTTAATACAAGCCAATCAGGTGGTTGTTAGTCATTTCAAATGCAAATTAACAGACGATGTTAGCCAAACAGGAACTTTGCCTTATGACAGGACATACATGTATTAAACACTTACATGTGGCTGCCAATAATTGGCTCTTACCTCATTAGATGATGACTGGGTAACTTTGAGGACCTTTCCTCTAATTCTGAGGGGAAAAGGAGAAAAGTTTTCAGCATTCACACATACACACACTGGTTTACCAACATGACCAAGAGAAACTTGCTTCCAGTATCATTCTATATTCATCACAAAATTGTCCCCTACCAGTAAATGTATATGTTACCATCCTAAGAGAAGAAATATGATCTCATGTTTACTGTTTCAAACCATAAGTGCCTGTGCCACCCCAAACTGTCCTCCCTGAAACTGCCTTTATTGTCCCAAACTGGCCAGTCCACGCCTCCCTAGGTTATTAGACTCATGATAGAATAAATATAATGCAACACAATGTATCACAAATTCTTACAGGTTAATGGGAGTGAGAATGATAGTTCTAAACTTTAACCAGTGCACTGTGACAACATTACTCTAAAACATTATTATTCACATTTTGCCCTTCAGCTGCACTTTCAGCTCTACAGTTTCCCCGACTTCAAAGTGATTCTGTAGATGAGCTTGGACCTCATCAACAAGGGTGTCCAATGGAGTTGCACCTGAGAAAAAGGCAATTGATATTCACTAGGTAACGGTATACAAAACAATAATCATGACAGAATGAAAGTAGCATACACATGCTACAGGATGACATCAAATGCTTGGTGAAATCAAGCACTACTGAGTTGGTGACGATACTGGTGTCAAGCTAAATCGTTTACAGTCAAGATAAGCCGAGACTCACAATCAAGAAAGGCTGAAACATGAATTTAAGATGAGCAAAGGCAATAGATGGATTTCACATTAGCGCCGTCTGCGCATATCCACATCGAAACCAAGGCTCTCTGTGTTGAACTTCGTCGCGTGCGCCCGCGGAGTCGACACAGTACATGTATGTGCAGTACCCGGTTCGTAAGTGTGATACCACTTCAGTTTAAACCATGCCCACTGCACAAGATACACGGCCATCGCAGGTACGTTAGTTCGCAGTAAATTGACATTGTTTTTTCTTTTGATTTCACGTGTCCGGTCATTCTGAAAGACTCTTTCACAAAAATTTGCAGCCTGAAAAGTCTGAATTTAACATACCTTTATGTATTTTGTGTCTTAACTCCTTACTTTCAATCGTCTGATCAAATTAAGAATTGAAGCTGACACATACAGCCTCGTTTTCAAACGCAGATCGACGCTAAAAGCATCGTATTGGGATCCCTCTATAAACTACATGTATAATGGTGTCCTCTACTGATTGCCAGGTTCACAATTTGATAAAGAAAAGCAGTTCTCTCAGGCTATATGTATCACCAAACACACTTCACATGAACCCATTTCCTCATTGCCTACATGTACATGTTGAATCCAAGATAAGTTGATTGTTATTAACAATTGAACACATGGATTAGTTCCAGTTCACCTTCAAGAATTAACAAGTATCATTCTCACACAATCTCTGCTCATGTACGTGACATGTACAGTACCAGCTTCAAGGATCTTCTCTCCTTATGTCCAGCTATCACCATATCACATGGACAATGTGCCTTCCAATTCACTAAACCCAAACTAAAAATCCCTGAAATCTCAGCAATTCCATGCAGAAGTGGACATGACACCCAAAATGTCAAAGTTGCACTTTGATGATGATTTTCTGTAAGGTTTTCTGATTTTGTTCATTATTTTCTTCAGAAAAACCTATCAAATCATTTTCGCTATTAGTTTCTAATTTAAGTGGAATTTTTAGTGCTCTGTAAAACAATTTTGAAATCATAATTTTTCCTGTGCGCACGAGATCGTCATTTCTAAGTATGGCCCCCTTCCATCATAAGTAGTATAAACTACATCGTTTAGTGTTCTTGGAGCTAACCTGTGCATTTGTAAAAACACATACTGAAGTTAACTCTACCTCCACCGTTCAATGTACATGTACCAGTACTGTACCCATTTGATTCGCTGCTCCCATCACTTGGGAAATCTAAGAACCAGATCTCTTCCTCTTTGGAATCCGCACTTTGTCTTGTACAACCCCACACACAACAACTGGATACCATTTCTTTTGGTAGTACTCCAAGCTACAGGTATGGCCAAGTTCAATGGTAAGCTATGTACGTACAGTATCACGATTTTAAAATCTTTCAACAGAGCACTAAAAATTTCACTTAAATAAGAAACTTATAGCAAAAATGATTTAATAGGATTTTCTGAAGAAAACCCTGAGAGAAAATGATAATCGAAGTCGCACCCCTGTTCATTTCTGATGGCCCACTCACACTTCTTGCCACCATTTGTGCGCATGTGTGCATACTTATTAATTTATTAGTGAAGAGGTCTATAGGGCTCTGCCAAATATCCACAATTTCAATAAAATGTACGTGTAGGTCACATCAAAAAGGCATGTCCATTTCAGCATCATTCTGTTGCTAACCTTATTAACATTCATGATTAGCAATTGAAAATGAAAAAAAAACATGAAATGGAACTTTAAGCTGGATCAGTGCTTCTTGTACTATTTTACCGAAAAAGTATTTTCAAACTACACTGGACAGCAAAAGAAACTTGCCACTTCTGTCAAAGGCTGCATATAAAAATTCACTCCATTGAAATAAAAAATGTTTGTACACAGGTATGCTGCAAATACCCCTTACTAATCACATGCCCAAAAGCAAGTGATTATCTTTATAACAAAGAAGAAATGGACATGCACAGCAACTTGGTTACTGAATCAAAAGTCACACACATACAGTAAGCACTCTCCACCAAGCAAAAATGACCCATGAATGGACATTTTAAACAACCAATGACAAAGTGAACACTTGCTTTGTCAAAATGGTGCGCATGAGTGGTTTCTGTATAGGGATGCCATCCTTACTGACTATGCATATACATTATTGAAAAGTAATGATTGTGACTTCTTTATTTTGTCCTGTGACATTGATTTCTGCGTAAACTTAAGGCTCATTCTGTTACATTCTGTGACTTTTGATTCAGTAACCAAGTTGCTGTGCATGTCAATTTCTTCTTTGTTATAAAGAAAATCACTTGCTTTTGGGCATGTGATTAGTAAAGGGTATTGCAGCATACCTGTGCACAAAAATTGTTTATTTCTATGGAGTGTATTTTTATGTGTGGCCTTTGACAGAAGTGGCAAGTTTCCTTTGCTGTTCAGAGTATTTTATGGTTTATAAAAAGCGTCAAATGCAAGACAGTATGCAACATTCACTTACTGTGGTGGACCAACTCCATCACAATCCTCTCAAGTCGGATAGGAAATTCATCCTCTACCTGTTCACGTGCACTGGCTTCTGACCTACAGGCTTCCTGGTAGGTTAGTCCACTTACACCTGTACATTGGCAAGTCCATATTGGCTGGCGGTAAAATTCCATACGCTTCTCATACTCACTGTATGAACCATGACTTAAGGAATTTGTATTAAGAGTAAACTCACTTCACTTTGTAATATACTTTTCACTAGGCTATGCAGATACTTAAGTTAAATATACCAGTACATGTTCATGTATGCAAGCTTTTTTCCTTTGTGGTAACCATGTAGAGAATATTCAACATAAAATTCCAAATAGGGATTACACATGTACATGTAATTGTCAGCAGCACAAACACAGAACTGCTCCCAAAATGTTTGTGATACGTGTCAATAGTTGATGTACGAATCTTGAAGCTGAACTGATTGATAATTACATGGAAATGTTAGAAATGAATATTCATAATTACCTCAGACTGTCTCCCTGGCCCTATTCAACAACTTGCAACATGACTGTGTATTAAAATTTGATAATGCCCACTGAGAAGTGAAAATGCCTGCTGCATAAATCATGCACTGGCACCTGGATACAAGACAGTTTGATTCTGACTGGTCAAGAATGGGTGTGGGTGAGTTTGTTTCTGCATTCAATTGGGGATCCTGAACAATAGAGGACAATAAGGTCCCCGATTGACAGAGGGTCCCCGATTGACAACTGTGTACAAAACATATGGGTGGTCTTCTAAAAAAGTTAAAGTACAAACAAAAGAGGAACAATAGGGGGTTCCCAGTTGCAGGCAAATACACACTTTATTGGGTGTGTACTTGTGAAAGGTGCAAATGGAGCTTTTCTATGTATTAACACAGCCGCGAATCGAGGTCAGATTGGAAATCGAGGACATCCTCAGTTCGCAATAAGGTAAAATTTGAGGCCGCAGTCAGCATTTATGAGGGTCAGTGAAATTTCAAGGCATTTGGAAGCCGTCCTCGGTGTACGCATTTAACACGCCGGGTGTTTAAAAACACCCGCTCGAAATGGACAGTTTCGGCGCATCCCTGGATGGAATAGCGCCCTCTCTAGCTCTCTTGCTACCCTGTCCGATCCGGACTGGTGAGCACAATAAACGTCGCCAAGTGCAGGGGATGCATAAACCCAACAAATATAAAAGCCTCCGAACTGTCCAAAAGCATCATAGCATCACTTTGCCATCACGCCTGTGGACTTCTATAGCCGCTCTGAGATGTAGGTGTCTTCTTGTGGAAAATATGGTGAGTAAAAACGATTTAATTTGAAGTAGAATGTTGAGCATGACCAGACCCTATCTTGGTACAGTTTACTACATCATTAAATACACGGGCCCCAGTGCTGGCTAGTACCATGCTACTAGTTAAAGCATGGTTAACGTCTGGCTGCTATCACCCCCCCCCCTCCATGTTGTCGATAGGCTAATGTAGATCTTGCACCGCTGTAAGAGTGAATGTGCCAGTGGAATAAGTATACAAATGCAGTTCGAAAAGTTCAATCACATAATCCAGTTGAACAGGTTCCTGCAGCACATTTTTCCAGCCACAAGTGAAGACTTTTCTGTTGTCCGTATGTGGTGGTTCTAGGCCTAATTGTGTTTACAATTTTTGTTGAGGGTGGGGGTTTTGGGTGGATGTGGCTCTTTGGAGCCCGGATACCTGTTCCTCCCCCCCACCACCACCACAATCACCACCAGTCCATACCAAATTAAAAGAAGACAGGCAGTTTAATGAAAATAATGTTCAATTTGTTTTCTTGCCAGCTGGCCTGTTCACCGTAAGTGGAGACGTTTGGACAGTATAGCTGATTTGTCCACCGGTTCCAGCAGCAGGTGTACTTCATCTGTTGCTCCAAGTGATGACACGTCTGACGTCCAGGAGAACTGTGGTGTGACCGTAATGCAAACCAGTAATGAGGTTGGCTGCAGGAAATGGGACAAGAAACACTTCTGCTCTTACTGCGATGTACCCCAGGCCAAGCTCCCCCAATCATCTCCAGTCATGTCACAAGGAAGAAGGAGAAGTCATCGAGATCGCCGGTGAGCCCAACACTAGTGTGCGTAAGAAACTTCTGTTGAAAATTCGCAATATAGGTAATCACACGCACAATTGTTAGGTTCTTTGTGAAGGTCGTGGTGTACTCATTGTCGGGTACAGGCCAAATCGCAAGGTATCTCCCCATGCATATGGACCATGCGTATATTGTTACGGCTATTATGTGCATACTGATTTGTGGCGACACGTGTGCCCTTTGAAGCCAGCACCCACTCCAC